TCCAATCAGGTCCAAAGGCAGAAGAACAGTGTATTGTTTGCATATGTGGTGATTGAAGAAATGTTCCCTTCACTCACTGTCTGCACACCAAAGGAAAGCAAAGAGGAATCGGGGCTGTGTTTGTGTGAAGTTTGTATCAGGTGCAGTCTGGTAATGAACATGTCTTCAGCTCGTTGTTTGGGAAACACGACAGTCAGCCTCATCCTGACAGGAAGTGACACCACACTGCCAACCTGGAGACAACCTGTCACACCAACCTGTGCATGCACACATTTATCCACAAGTCGAAATCTGCAGCAAATGCGAGTTTTTAGAGCTTTAAACATGCACATAAAGGATGCAGCATGTCCGATGGATTGTGGGGCTGCTGGGGTTTTATTAACATAGAGACTAGTCAGCGAGCAATTTAAAAACTCTGCTCTTCTACTGGATGAACTCGGCTCTCCTTCCCACAGCTAAGAGTCAGCTTTGGAAGCTTTAACACTGGCGTTCCCATTCCGCCACACCATCCATCCGGATGAGAGAAAAATGTCTGCCCGCCTCGTCCCCAAAGTCTCATATAGGGAGAAAAATATTCTGAAGATGCTCTCAATTGCTTCTGAGACACTGGGAGGAAGGAGATGTGTGTGTGTGTGCATACAAGGTAGAGGAAGAGGAGGTGGAGGTTGGCGGTTGAGCAATGTGATTTCTGCTTGACTGTCACAAATCTAGCGCAACAGGAAAATCAATTTATCCCTGTGTGTGCCTTTTTGGCTCCGGGAGAGAATCCAAATAGCAAGGCGAGGCCCGGATAATGTTACAGTGTATTGGATTTGCTTCATGGAGAGAGGGAGAGAGGGAGAGAGAGGACAAAGAACAGGAGAAGCGAGGAGACGAGGGAATCACAGGCGTGCGGCGGAGCTTCGACAAGATAGATATGTGCAAGTGTACGGGTGTATGATAGGCTGGCAATCTGTCAGTCTCCACCTCTTTTCACCCCGACTCCTTCTTATTTTCTCTCTCACACACACGCGTGCAGATGACACCGTCAGTCATCCGAGCGAGCGCATATACAGAGGTGATTTATGTGTTCAACAATATATGTAAAGTCAAACCATGAAATCAAGTTTTTATAGGTATTCGTGTTCTTACGTGCAGCTGTGTGCGCTCACGCCGCTGGTGTGTGTGTGTGTTTGGCAGGTGAAAGGATGACATAATGAAGTTGCTCTCCTCCGACCGTTGTCAGGGGTAACGTGTGTGCTCATCCATGTGACGTGTCGCATCAGTCCACCGAGTGGGGCCGACAGGTGACAAATAAACACGGGGCACGCGCATGTGCACGCACACACTCGAACCTACTTTTTTATATTTTTGTGAATAACACAAACTATATAGACCATGTAGAAAGATGAGTGTATTCCAGACCTGCATTCTTCCTAATGGCCAGCAGCTGGCGTCAGCACAAGTCCAGCTGTTTGGCTGCTTTTATGTCTCACTCGCTGCAACATGTCGCTAATTTCAGTCAGAGAGAGAGCTGATCTCATTCTGTCTGCAGTAATCTGTATTTGATTGTGTTGGGACGTCACACAGCAGAGAGAGACACAGCGTGATAGACGGAGCTGAGGATGTGCATCAGCTGACCATCAGCTGAGTCCCTCCTGCAGTTTCCTGTGATGTCAGGGTAGCTACGTCCACGTAGCATCACGACACAATGTGCTGACATATACAGCACGCCTGTAAATAATTTAATAGGACGAAAGCATCAACGGCAGCAGCGCACACTGACGTCAGCCGAGGGATCCAATTTATAAGCGGCTGCGATGTTTCCGCTGACAGTGGCCCTAATGGAGCAGAGCAACAAGTCGTGTTGTGTTGTGACTTCCTGAGTGGAGCTGAAACTACTGCAGACAGGTTTTTCACACTAATTAAAGCGTTTATTAATGCTTGTGTTTTGTTGTTTTTTAAAGGGCACTACTTTGAGTATTAAAGAGCACGATGTGATGGCACCGGAGCAAAACTCTCCCCTCCACGTAAACAGATCCGGGCCTCTGCGCTCATCTCTCCTCGCCGACTTGCTCCGAAATAAAGAGCCAACGTTTGCTAAAACGTCCCAACTTGTGACAAAGTGTTAGAAAACCGGGCGTTAGTAATCAGATGTGTGCTAACCACATTAGTTCTCCCGTGTCTGTGCGAGGCTGGCTGCTCCTGGATCTAATCCAAACTGATCGTAGTACAGCCTCTGAAACACGCCAGATGTTGCTCGCTGCTCCACGCTTTATCGCCGTTTATTTGGCACGGGGAATATTTTTGAATATTTTCTTATTAATCACGTCCCAGCGATCGGTTTCGCTTCCCATCTTTGCCGCTTCATTCCGGATTCTCGTCATGATTCTTGGCACGCGCGCCTGGAAAACCACTGTCCCAGTTTTTCATTAGCGTCAATCACTCCGGTAAGCGGCTGTGAGGGGAACAGCAGGGGGAGGAGGAGGTGGCGGCGGCGGGATCTCGCTCGAGACATTTCGCCCCGCCTCGTCAGAGTGACTGACGGGTCCGAGACACGCCGATGTGCCGGTCAGCCGCTCGGCTGTGAGGAGAGGAGGCGGAATGACAGCGAGGCCGCTCGTGCACGCTCGTGCACGCTCGTGCACGCTCGTGCACGCTCGTGCGCCTGTTCCAAGCAAATCAAATCCACACTCTGTGTTTATCTAAATGGTTATGTGCTCCTCTGTGGCCTCGGGAGACAGACAGCCACACCGTGCATTGTCTGATAATCCTGTTGCTGCCTTGTTTAGCCTGCCATATCTCAGATAAGGCTACAAATCAGATGGGAGGTCCTCCACTACCAGTCGCTCTCAATTCATTAAGGCTCCGAGTGGATGGGAAATATCGCCCAGACGTGGATGTCGGATCCACAGGTGGAAAGAAGACGGACGTGATTAAAATTCCCCCGCCATGTAGGGACGCGATTCTACAACGCTGTGATCAAAGACTTAACAAATGTCTCGTGTGCTGGGACAGAAACTGAACAGGACATATTCCTGTGCCGTAATATTCCTCAGCTGTGAATTATGAGTTCAAATGGGCCCGAATATCAAAGTCTAGACGTGTGGCGTTGATATTATTTAGTCTTCTGCTGCAGCTTCATCCCGACTTCTAGCCGGCAGAATGAAAATTGATCTGGATGGATTACATGCCGAGTTGGAGACGAGGGGAAAAAAGAGATGCTATTAAACAAAGATGTTGGCAGATTCATGCGACGGGTTATCGGCGCCACTGTGAGAAAGAAAGGGGTGAAACTGCTCTGCAAACACCTGATGACCGTCTTAAACGAAGACGCTGATTAGGTTCAAGTGTTTGATGCGAAAGCTTTATCCTCACCTTCAAATGGCACGCCGTTATTTGTGAAATCGCGGTTCCGCTTCGGGGTCAGTTTTCTACGCGACCTTTTTAAAATGCTATTTAAAAACAAATGAAAACAGCAGCATCAATGTAAAGGTCAAGCAGAGAGGTGGGCGTGATGACTGGGATTTTCTCCAGGAAGCAACAAGTGCAGCGACGGAGCTGCTGTAAAGACGCTGCACAGAAAAAACCCAAACGGAAACATCTAAACACATCTAGCCACGCCCCAATCAGTGATGTCACAGCTGCTCGTCTTCATCAGCTGTCAGAGTGCGCACTGCTGCACGGCTCGGGTCGTGTTTTGACAGTTTTTTTAATTTGCTTCCCAACAACAGCCTCGTTTGGTGGCACAAAGCAATTTCCCTTTAAGCTGTAAAGCAATTTTAGGAAACTTCCCAGGGAATCCACGACGGAGGTACAAGATGTAAAACGCGGCGCGGCGTCTGCTTTCAGCTGCAAATCCTGTCAGTGACACTTTTGTTTGTTTGCAGTGATTAAACTAATACAATTATCAACTCTAAGTTGCACATTTCATCAAGACGAGATTCGATTATCAGGATACGGATGCTCGTACTGTCTCGGGCTCTGATGGGAAGCCTACCTGGTGCAGAGGTGTTGGCAGAGGGTCCGCTGGCAGGTGAGATGGGGCCCGAGCCCGAGCGGGAATGCTGGGACTGAGTGGAGCCGGCCGGGGAGCCGACGGGGGACGGAGAGGGCCCGCTCCTCTGGCTGGGGAGGTGGGGGGAGGCGTGAGGGGAGAAGGGGGACTGTCCCTGGTTACCGGTGCTCCCCTGCTCCCCTTGGCTACTGCTGCTGCTGCTGGAGGAGCCCCCGGCGCCAACCGCCGAGCCCAGGCCGGCCTCCCCGGTGGGGAGGTCGTCAATGGAGCCGGACAGATCCTGGAACAGAAGAAAAGACTTCCAGTGAGTATTTACAAAGCTCGCTCGAGCATGTGATGAGAGCTGACGTGCAGCAGGTGGCGAACGTAAATGT